GTCCACTGTACACATGTTTTACGGCAATTAAAATCGTGTTATAAAAATATCAATCTAAAACATAGGTACATATATGTACAGAAAAAATGTTTTTATTATTTATCTATTTATTTATTGTTTATTTATGTTAAAGCACTTGAAATTAGAATTATAGAGTAACAGAATAATCTTAATGCAAGGAAAAGATCGGAGGCAATGGAATAAATCATTCATCTTGCGTTCACCATTCATTCACCATTCACTTTGCGCTCGCGTTCGCGCTCTGTTCGCGTTCTGCGTTCACTCACCATTCACCAAGTTGCGTTCAGCGTTTGCATATTGTTCACTCACCGTTTGCTCTGTGTTTGTTCAGCGTTCGTTCACCGTTCAAGTGGGAAAGTAGAACGTTTCAGGGACTGTATATATTTTAACAATAAAGAAGATTAAAGATCATCCCCACTGTTGTGATGTGGAAAGCTGACGACCATGCAACAAATTACAAAATCAATGAAGCTGATCAGCCAGGGATATCTGCCCCTCCATATTGATCATAATAATTATATGCAAGTATTTATGAATGAACACCCCCCCCCCAAAAAAAAATCTAAATCTATCTAAAATAGATTTATTGCTCTTGCTCAGTTTTTTTAACTGTAAAAAAAATGAGGTTTTTTTGGATTGGGTATGTCGGTATAACTTTTCATGATATGCCCTCGCACTTACCTCTAAAACTTACTGAAGACCTGAAGCATAGATTACTTATGAAATATTTGTAAAACCTACAGATAAATATGCTGACATATTTCTGTATTATATATTTTTGCCAAAAGGAAATATTTTTGTTTCAAAAATGATGAAAATATCAGTATACAGTATACGTATGTACATACATCGATATCTTCAGTGCGAGTTACGCTCAGCATCAATAAAACATTTTTGCTTTTGAAGCAGGATGAAAATTTACTTTTGTATACCTGCATGAAATTATCTCAGAAGATTTCGTAAAATAGATCAACGGCTGATGTACGTACGTAAATTGCGGCTATATATGATATGTAACAGTACCAACTCTCCCTCTGGTACTAAGAAACTGACTTACCCTCATCCAAGTTCTAGACTTTGTTTAGTGGAATTGCAAACAATTAATATCCAAATCCTTCAATTTCATACATTGTGTTTTTTTATTATTTATATTTTTGCAGCAAGCTAGTCCAGTATTATGCAAGGGTTAATGTACGAGTAGCACTCCATTCCTTAAAAGTAATGGAGCAGAGGCCCCGAAGGGGCCGAGGCCCATTACTCTTAAGGATTGGAGCGCTACGAGTATATCAACCCACGTAAAATCCGCCTTTCTGAATGCTTGTTTTTATTGTTTGTTAATACAATATAATAAAGAATATTTATATGATACATTGTAAATACTTTATACATATTAGTAGCAGTATTTTTATGTATAATATAGAAAGAAAAACTAAAAAAAGTGTACTGAATTTAATCTAAATAAAAGTCTTTCAACTGCCTCGTTAGCTCAGTGAAATGAGCATCGGACTGCTATGGTGAGGGTACCGGGTTCGATTCTCATCATGGGTGATCTAATTTTCTTAATGTGAAACTAACCTTTAATATCTCTAAAATTTTCTAAGTTCTTTCCTTGGTAGAGGCACGGAAAGGAGAATAAGACCATAACAAATTTCGTTTTCAATGTAATTTGCAACTCTCCATTCCTTAAAAGTAATGGAGCGCTCAAACAAAAGAATGACATCACAGGTGGATTTTACTTTGCTTGTATTACAAAGGGCAGACGTGGTTATGATATTCCATTTTTTCACAGTGGTGGATTCAGAAGGGGTCCAACCTTTGAATTTGCTAAAGAGAGAGGGATCGAGAGAGAGTTCCATTATTTTTTTCTAATTTCAGTGAAAGGTTCATGAAGTAATAAATGTAGAAATTCAGTTGTGAAAACAACATGGACCTAACCCCCGATAAAAGTGATACTACATCCCTGTATCTGTTTATCTAAATGTAAGCGTACGTTATAACAACTCTTTCCCACTTCAACCCCCCTCTTCACCCCCTTTTTGAATTTTTTTTTTTAGATCCAAGTCTGTTTCACTTAAATATTTACAAGCTACATGTAGTAATTTAATAATCACGTAAAGCAGTATTAAGATTAGTTTTAAATAACAATAGTATCCTACTACATGTATTTAAAGAAAATTTAAACAAAAATAGTATTTACAGCTTTAGAAAGAAACAAGCAATTGAAGAGGGGTGAACCTGAAGATGATAGAAATAGAGCTCTGTTAATAATTTGATGGTATCATCATGCAAGTAAAGTTTAAGTGATTCATCTTGAAAAAAAAATTCAATCATTTGAAAGAGCACAAACTAAATTTATTACAGTCTTTATGACGTCACAACTGACGTATATGTATTACAGTGAAACTTCTCCAAACCGGCCCCCCTGGAAACCGGTTCTCCCTGAACATCGGCCAAATTTTTAAGTCCCGGCAAAATTCTTAACATTTCTTTACACATCAACTCTCATAAAACCGGCCACCCCTGAAAACCGGACACCGGCCACTTTTCCAAGAACAAAAGTTAAGAAACATAGGGATTTCCCCCTCATCATACCGGCCACTTTTTGATTGCAAGAAATTTAATTGTCTTTTGCCAGAGGGGTTATAATGACTGGCTGGAGGTGTGAAAAATAGCCTACCCACGAGAAGTCAGAGGTGTGAAAAACTTAATATGGCCTCACAGGGTTTTCTATTATTTAGCCGTGTTGAAGGGGTAGTCATCATTCCAGACTACGTAAATGGCCGGTCTAAGCTGTGTACATTTGATTAACATCAATTAAACTTGAATTAATAAAATAATCAAGCAACTAATAAATTTAAATCACAGAATGAATTAACAAATTATCACACGCCATATTGCATCATCTTTTTAAATACACATAAGCGGCCTTAAAATTGGGCACTGTTAAAAATTGCTAAGAAAAAATAAAATAAAATGTTTACCAATTAAAATATACATTTCATAATTAAAATAACAAAATTTTTGCTCAGAAATGTTTTATTTAAAATCATTTACTTTTAACTGAAGTACAAACAATTTTTTTAATGACGTAAGCGATACACAGATACACATGCAGTATTCTGTATAGAGTTCAGTTAAGGTAAAGGGTATGGTTTATTTCTTCGCATATGGTTATTAAAGTATCTTTCCATTTTTTTTCCTGTTCCTATTTTCTAATTTCTTTTTATAAAAATCAACATGTATGTCGAATTTATCCTCACTAATAATGATTTCCATTTTTTTAGACCTTAAGAATACATTACATGTCTGCCGATAATTAATAACATGTTGACAAATAATTATAAAAGACACTAATTATATATTTTTCCTGCATTTCTTCAGTATGTTAGATTCTTGGGAAACCGGCCACCCCTCTAGTCCGGCCATTTTATTCAGTCCGGCAGCTGGCCGGTTTAGAGAAGTTTTACTGTACTCTTAACATCATGTTTGAAGAGAAATGTAAAATCAACTGATTTATGATTTTTTTGTTTGAGTTCTGAATTCAAATAATGTAAATTGCAGATCAAGCCTCTCCACAAATATCCATTTCAAACGAACTACTAACTATTTTTTTTAACATATTGTGTGTAAATTTAATTGTACTTATATAAACCAAATATTACTGAATGATTAACAAAACTTGTGAATCTTTGAGGCATCAAAATTAAAATGTAAAGTAATATTTCATATTGGCCATACGTACGAACAACAATTATAGCGTGTAGATTTGTATGAGCAATATCTATATATATGGTAAGTATTAAAATTGATCTTGACTGTGGCCACATTTAATTTTGGGAAATTATGCCGAAAAATCGGCATTTTTGAACGTTTTTATGAAACCGTCATCTTCAATCCATCGCACGTGCCTAACTGAGCATTATTTGACAAAATGAGTTACGCAAGGAAAAGAAGTATGTTGTCCTCTAATAATTTACGTTATAATACCTGCCATAAATAGAAACTCTATTTTTGTGAAAAACATAGGGCCAAATATAACGGTTCGTGGCTTTGGCTCTTTTGATCAGAAAAGCTTACTTGAGCCTTCGGCTCAGGTGAGCTAAAACATATAAAATATATGTATGACTAGCGGTATATTTGATAAAGAAATTTGGGAATTATTGGCAACAATTTATTTCACACATTTCACATTAAAAAATATCAGAAGACAATGAAAAAATACAGAGGTGAACTATTTCAATTCATCGTTTCATATACTGTAAACGTATTACATTTGGCTGTGTATTCTTTTTAGTGTTTTTGGTGGAAAGAAATATCCGCAAATTCAAGTACAACGTTAAATGTCTGGCACATTTATCTATCAAGAAGACATTAAGATATGTGCTAAATCAAATCAACGCCAACTTGTTCAAAATCCAATTTCCCCCAAATATTGTACGCACTAAATATAATACATTTATAGTAAATGCTAAAAAACAAATAGATGATAAATTTTTCAATTGTGAAACTCAGTATTTAAAATTTTGATACGGTTGCGGTTCAAGTGCAACTTCCTACTTCACAAGATGGCGACAGATACCTACTTCACATGATGGCGAAAGATAGCATGTTGTAAAATGAACTTTGATGAAACACTTTTTACGAGATGAATAAAAAAATTTTTGTTTTGGCATATTGATGGATATTTAATGGATTAAAGAAATCAATAAAATGTATATTTAATTCTTAATTGTGATTTATTTTTCTCAATAAAATTATTTCAAAAGTTATGAAAATTGTATGATTTATTTTAAAATTGACCTACATTTTACAGATTTGGGGTCATTTTTCGTAAATTTAAGCCGTAGAAAGGTCGATCCTTTAAATAGGATGACCCCAACGGTTCTGAGAAAAAAAGTATCGACCTATACCCTGTAAATTACGGTATATGTATAGCATAGTTTCTATGGTTTCAGATGGACTAAAAATCAATCACATACAATGGGGACCATTCCTCCTTTTTCTTTTTTCTTTCTTTTCTGGCTGCCCTCTGTTTTTCCTCAATCCTGTTTTTCTCAGCTGATGCTAAATCTGTATAATAAAGAATTTAAAAGCATTTTAACAAAGTGAGAGATCCAAGGGTCTCAACAATCACTTGAATGTACTTGTAATATGATCTTGTAAATGAGCCATACTAGTGACCTTGAACTTGCTAAATTGGCCTTAGATTAACAAAAGGTCCATGGGCCACATCGCTCACCCGAGTAATTTTGACCATGCTGTTCTTTATCAGATTTCCCCCTTGTAATAACCCACTGTGATTCCAAATTATGGCCCCAATCATGATTTGAACAATTGAGAATCTACACTGCCCCAGGTAGTTAGAATGATCTAACTGTGTCTCGGTACAAGCCCTCACCACAGTTAGAATACGTCCCATATACTAGCCATGTAGCAAATCGGAGCAAATCCTCTCCGAAACGATTTTGAAGAATTTAAAAGGATTTGCACTGGAAATAACTACCAAATTAATCAAAACAAACCTTTTTGAGATTGCTTATGCCTTTCATTCCAGAAAATAATCCATCTAAAGACGAAAATCCAATTAATTTTCTCAACATTTTTCTCTCGCTTCAAATTTACCTGCCATGTTTACATTCGGAACTCTCTAGATTGTTCGTAGTAAATGCACTGAGTTATAGTGAGTACGAGTTATCGCCCATGTTTCTTTTGCTACATTACGAATACACGGAACGAATTCTATTGTTAAACCGGGTCCGTAGGACAATATCATTTTAACGATAGAACATTCTATCTATGCCCCAGGATGCTTTCACATAAGTTTCAGCTTTTCCATACATGCCAACTTTTGAAAATTCCCATGGGGGATTTTGCGCACAGCGACATTTTTCAAAGCTTTAAATTCGCAACATTTTGTCATGAAATTAAATGATTATGACATGATCCTTTTTTTAAAAATTTATAATATAATTAATATCACTTATTAATACTACTAAAGGATAAAAATAACACAAAAATAAGGTTTTTCTTTTCAAAATTGAAATATTTTTGCTCAAATAGGTGCCCCTCTCACTAAAGATGGGGTATTTAGTTACAAATTTAAACAACTTTTTTTTTACCAGCTAGGACACATAATTTGGTGAACAAGAGGCCCAAGGGCCTTGAATCGCTCTTCTGATAAATTGTACAATCTATCACTCCTATTAGAAGCCTCCAACTCTATTAGTATCATAAGACCCAAAATGCATCAACTGACAAAGTTTGATAATATTTAGCCAGTTAAGGCTGAAGATATTATAATATAATTATAAAATACCATAAGTAGGTCACAGTAACCTACCTTTTGATTGAAATTTTCTGAGGACTCAAGATACATTGATTGACAAAGACTGATAATTCTAATTAAATAAGTACCTGAGATATTCAAAAGTAGAAAAGTAGGTCATCATGACCTACTTTTGGTCAACATTCTCTGAAAACCCAAGATGCATCATCTGACAATGTTTGAAGATTCTAAGCCAATTAGTAGCAGAGATAACTAGTGCTAATTGTAACGGGGACCATTACAGATGTTCCCCAAATGCTCCCCAACTCCCTTTTGGTGCCACATTCCCTGTAAGCTTCAATAAATAAGACAAACTCTATGCATTTGAGACTTTAACAACGTTTACCCAGAAGTGTACCAAGTTCATTCAGATTTTAGCATTGCATGCGTGCGCATGTGAATGCATGTGCGTAATGACCATATCATCTTGTCTACACAATCTATATATTTTAATATAGGGTGAATTCACCATGCATCGGATACCCCTGTACTTCAACAAGTTCTAGCGATATCGCTACCGACGGAAAATTATCAAAATGGAGTTTAACATTTAGTTTGTGATTAAAATAACAATTTAGGACACAATTATATGCCGTTTATTGAGAAAATATCCCCAAAAATCGAGTTTTTAGAAAAAACAGAAATTTCACCATGGATCGGACATTGTTCACCATGCATCGGACAGAAGGTATGGAGACCGGAAAAATATCATACCTTTATCACAATGCTTTAAAATCCTTGATATGGATATATTTTCATCTTTTATCTTAGAAATAACCCTCAACTGTAATTTAATCGACGATATTATTGCACAAATGTAGAACGATTCTAGAGACCTCACTCTGCCTTAGAAATGCTTGAAAATGCTTATAATGCCGTAATTCGCGCCTTTTTCTCATGGTTTATCATACTCTGGTTTGTAGAAATAAATAGAGTATAATTCCAGACGTCATATATCGATAACTTGTATTTTAACTGAAAATATAGAGTTTTTATTTTCTTTTTCGCAAAAAACAGCTGTCAGCTGGGTTCTGTATGAAAATGGTAGTACTTCCCTTTGCATCGAAAAGTGTCCGATGCATGGTTAATTTGTGTCCGATGTACGGTGAAAGTAGCATACTAGTAAAAACCAGCTCTAATAAGAATTAAACAAGCATCGAAGTGAAATTTAATTATAATTTATGTAAAATTACCAATCCCTGACAAAATTCACCAAAGTCCGACTCGTTCCGTGGAAGTCGAATTTAAAAGAACGATAACTCTAAAAATTGCAAAATCATAAATTTCGGGTTATTCCCCTTTGATGATGTAAAATATGACGTATATTCAAGGCCATTTGCGGGGTATTTTTATCACAACATGATAAACACAATTGGTATCATTAAAAAATTTAAATATTGGTCTTTATGACAGAAACAAATAAATACACAGAACTCGTAAGTTGAAAGAGAGTTTATTGCCTAAAGTTGTCCGAAGCAAGGTATGTGTCCGATGCATGGTGAAATCACCCTACTAAATATTAAAGTATTTAAGCCAAAAGTATATAAAAAAAATACGCTCATTCAAGTGTATTTTTGATTTTGCTCATTTCACGTGCACGCACATGCATAAATGAGCATGGTGACCATACCTTCTTGTAGAAGTCCATTGCATCTATCTATGTTCTAAATATTACCCAATTTGGTTGAAAACCAAGGGAGTAATAGCTGTTTAAAGTTTCAACCAATCAAATTGCAGCGCACGTACACGCACGTGTATGCATGTACATGGTGCCCATACCTTCTTGTAGTAGTCCATTATATCTATCTATGTTCCAAATCCCATCCTGTTTGGTTGAAAACCAAGGGAGTTATAGCTATTCAAATTTAAGCCAATCAGATTGCAGCGCACGTGCATGCACATGTTTTCATGATAATTGCTATATATCATGTTGTAGGATATCCTAATGCATGGCTATGTTTAAAATTTCAAAGGATTTCGTCAAAAAACAAGAAAGATATTTGAGACTTTAGTTTCAGCCAATCAGAGCGAAGCGCACGTGCATGCGCGTGCGAGCTTACTATTTTGACCATGTCATATTGTCTATGCTACTAATATATCCTTATATTGTAAGTTTCAAAGCATTTCATAAAAAATCTAAAAAGTTACGCCTATATCAATTAAATCGGTCATTTCACGTGTTGCACGTGCATGCTCTTGCAAGCAGGTGCGCGCAAAATGACCTTCGTTCCGCAAATCTTCATAACGTGCCTACTGACCCTAAAAAGGTTTTACCTAAGTCGGATGTGTAGTTTACAAGATCACTCCCGGACAAAAAAGTACCCAGGAAGAAGAAGAAGAAGAAGAAGAAGAAGAAGAAGAAGAAGAAGAAGAAGAAGAAGAAGAAGAAGAAAAATAATAATAACTAGAGCAAAGCTCGTTGCAAAGCAACGAGTAGGTCTTCCGTCCTGTTTGACCGTAAGTAGCTTTCATTTTCAACAAAAATGAGAAATAGCGCCTTAAAATGGTTTGAATCCTCTAAAGCTATGTTAATTAATGCAAAAATAAGCAATATTTGCTACTTCTGGTTTAACCGGAAGTGACGACGACGGACGGAAAATTAATTTTTATGCTCCCAGAGACATATGTTACCCAAAAAACTTGACAAGAACGGCAAAATTACGCGTTTTTGACTACTTCCGGTTTTGGCCGGAAGTGACGACGCCGGACGTATTTTGACGAGTCAAATAGATTAAGCTTGTCATTTTGAACAACTTTGCTTCTTTGAGGTATTACAAATTCTCAATACTTTTCGAGATATCAAGTAAAAACTTTTGGCCCCTCTAGATCCCTAATTTTAGGGGTCAGCCCTTTTTTCGAGATATCATTTGAAAGATCTCAGAATTCTTCACAATTTTTGTTCTATATGTTTTAAGAAAATATTTACAAGTAAAACGATATAGTAGAAAAAGTGTAAGAAATTTTGAAACGCTCAATATGACTCTTTTCAGACCATACCGAGCGTTAACGTGCAGTACTTCCAGTGAAAGTTAACAACACAATGCAAATCTACATTTGTTGCTCTATCTTCCAGAAAAGGTTTCATCTTCCTGTGATGAGCGGTTTTTAAGAAGAGTGACGGACAAAATGACCCTTAAAAATCACAAAATTGCCAAAATCTTCGAACCGGAAGTGACGTCATCAAAATGAAAAACAAGAGGCCCATGGGCCACATCGCTCACCTGAGCACCAAGGGTAGGACTAGTATAAAATGGCTTTTTATTGTAAAGTTTAAATCCAAAAGTAGTCCCATGACCAATCATGGATTTGCTATTTTTTAGAAAATGATTTTTAAAGAATTTTCCTATATATATCTTTTAAAACTTTGGTTGGCCATTTTGGCCCCGCCCTATCCCTGGGGGCCATGATTTAAACAAATTTGAATCTACACTACTTGAGCATGCTTCCATATAAATATGATGAATTATGGCTTTGTCATTCTTGAGAAGAAGATTTTTAAAGAATTTTCCTATATATTTCTATGTAAAACTTTGGTCGGCCATTTTGGCCCCGCCCTACCCCGGGGGGTCATGATTTGAACAAACTTGAATCTACACTACATGAGCATGCTCCCATATAAATATGATGAATTATGGCTTTGTCATTCTTGAGAAGAAGATTTTTAAAGAATTTTCCTATATATTTCTATGTAAAACTTTGATCTGCCATTTTGGCCCCACCCTACCCCGGGGGGTCATGATTTGAATAAAATTGAATCTACACTACCTGA